CGAAGTTCTGGAAGAGAGGGATAAGGTCATTCCGTGTGGTATATGGGGTCAAGTTCCCAACATAGCAGGTGGTTTGCCATTGGGGTGTTTGAGCCGCGACCATGTCGTAACTTTGGACTCCATGGGTGGGGAAATGGTGGTGGCCAAATGGGGTGGACGGGGTCATGCCCATTGCAGCCATAGCTTGCTGCTGGGAGATGGACGGCTGGCCCTTCTGGTTTGCCCAGTTGCAACGGATAGCACGAGAACCCAGCCACTCTCCGTCCATGGAGCTCAGCGCTTTCTCAGCATCTGGACGTTCACGGAATGCAACAAAGCCGTAGCCGCGAGAGCGACCAGTCTTCATATCCCACATGACACGGGCTTCTGAAACAGAGCCGAAGGCAGAGAATGCCTGGAGCAGAACCTCATCGTTGACTTCGTTACTCAGGTCACCAACAAAGATATGGAAATGGTTTGAAGTGTCTTCCTTGTTGTTGTTGTTTGACTGGTACGCCCAGTTCACGCGAATTTCCTGTAGTATGGTATGGAACGATCAGCCAAATAATCCAACGTATATATTATTGTTGCTATTGATATCTATGATGATAATTTACTCAGATGGCAACTTACAGACTGGTGCACACGGCGTCCGTTGAGGGTAGACATGGCTCGTTCAGCGGCGCCTGGGTCGTCGTATTCAACGAAACCGTAGTTCAAACCTTTGCTCTGTAACAGTCCGAAAAAATATTACTGTCAGCAAAGTCTGTTCAAAATAGAAACGTTGGGGGGGTAATTGGTGTGTAGTGTGGTGTTAGTGTTGGATGGAATGGTAAAAGAGAGGAGGAGAAAAAGAAAAGAAATAACAAAGGGGGCCAAAAAATAAAAATAGAATACAGAAGAAAAAATTAAGTAAGACAAAAAAAGAAGATGTTAGCGAGTCCAGTGAAGGGCACGGGAGGCGGAAAGTCCGTTGACAGCCGTGATAGCTGCTTACATTCTTGTCGGGAATGATCTTGACACTCTGCACGTGCCCGGTGGTTTCAAAGATCTGCCTCAAGATGTCTTCGGTGACGCGAGCATCAAGACCTCCAATATACAGAGCGCGCTTGTTTGGTTCGGGAGCAGCCCGACGGACAAAGCCGCCGGTGCTGGACGGGGACATCATGTTGCCGGTCATCGGAGAGGTGATCGCCGTCGGAATCGGATTGGTGTTCTGGGGGATCACGACAGGGGGAAGAGGTGGTGGAGGCATATGTGCCGGATTTGCCTGCCCGTTGCCCTGGGACCCATCGAACTGTTGCTGACCAGGGGCACCTGCAGAGGGTTGGGGAGGGGGAGGAAGGGTAGAAGAAGTGGTGGGCTGGGCGTTCTCAGCCATTGCGAGGAAGAGAAAAAGAAACTGTGGGCTTGGATGGATGGATATATATCGCGCAAGAGAAGATATCGAATGGAAAAGGCTGCTAACTCAGACAGAAAGGAGACAATTATACAGGCAGGCTCGACGAGAAACGGTATGCGGCGATATAAATTGGATAGGACTCGGGAGAGAGAGTCGAGGGGGGGAGGAGGGCTTCGATCGGTTTGTTTTCGGGACAGGATGAAACGGTCGTGAGCGACGAGATGGTAAATTGCAGAGGACGTGTCACTGAATTCCACCACATGGTCTGGTCTGTCTGGTCCAAGCAAGCAAGCAGTCAAGCAAGCTATTTAAGAGGGGGGGAGAAATCGTTGAAATGAAACCCGATCAGAAGATAAAACAAGAAGAAACAAGAAGAAAAAAAGAGAATAAAAGGAGTTTCACCCAGTATGATCCTCTTTCTTTTGTTTAATTCTGCTTCTTTCGTTCGGGATTCTTCTTCCTTTTCTGTCTCTTTCTGCTGCTGCGATCCCTAGGGCACTACGGGCTAGATGCTAGTGAGGCAGCTTGCGGACGCGCACAGGAGGAATAGAAGGGAGAAAGAAGGGAGGAGACAGAAGGGAACAAGGAGAACAGCGAGACGATGAAGGAGTGGAAGCACTCAGAAATCCCGACGCCTGTGAGAAGGGAAGCGGATGGGAGGCGGATGGGATGAGGTTGGGGGTGGAGTTGGGACGAGGAGTTGGGGACGGGGATGAGGACGCTGGCTGAGTAAGTAAGGGAAGGGAGAGCGAGGAGGACGAGAAGGAGAGGGAAAAAGAAACACACACACACACTCCCCTGCGGACAGAACAAGACAGAGCAGAACAGAACAGAACAGAACAGAACAGGACAAGGCAAGAACACGACAGAGACACAGACAGAGGGAGAAGAGAAGAGAGAAGAGAAAGAGAGAAGAGAGCAAAAGGAAACAGGACGATGGAGATGGAGATGGAGCAGAGCAAGCGAGCAGAGAGCGAGAGAAAAAAGCGACGGGGCTCAACTGGAGATCGATCCGGATCCAGCGAAATCCAGCCAAAATCCAGCCAAATCCAGCCAAATCCTGCCAAGGCGCGGCTGCCCCCGGCTACGGCTGCCCACAAGCCCCATCTGCGCTGCCCCGCTAACCTGATACGGCTAGTGCGGTCCCTAGGTCGCTGCTTACTCATGCAATCTGGTGCAGTATAGACCCTGCCCCCAAAACTGCGGTTCCCCAACCCGGTGGGCCCTGAGTCCCCACCCACGGAAATGGGCGCTAAACTAGCTAGCCTTGTGGGTTTTAGTCAGGGCTGCTGAGGTAATACCCGTCGCCAGCTGGGCATCTTCAGACATGCATCCTCTGCATTTCCTTTTATGATACGTCCAGAAATTATCCTGTTCAATTACCAGATGTTCCGTGCTGGGGCTGTACATGGATAACATTCCGATGGATGCTCCGGTTTCCCTTTGATGGAAATTGCCTCACAAATGTCTTTGTCAACCTGCACAACACAAGTCAACCCAGCCTTCGTCACTGCGCACTCCCGTTTGAACGCCGCAGGAAACGCTTCGAGTTTCCCCCGTGCACCCACTCCCACTCCCACTCCCACTCCCACTCCCTTCTGGCCTATTCTATATACTTCCTCCTGCACCCCGAAAATCAGCCAGCATTCCTTCTACCACACGCCATGCCAACCAAGCAGCCGGCCGCCGCCCCGCCCCAACCCCAGCCCCAGCCGCTGTTGCAGGCCCAGTTGCAGCAGTCCCGCGATGAGTCTCTGAGCACCCTGTCGGCCATGGTGAACCAGACGGTACATACACACATACACACCCCCTCTTGCAAATACCCTTTATATATACCTGTATGAAGCTTTGAAAGCTAATCTCACAATCAATCCCCGCCCACCAGCTCGTCGAAACAGGCCGTTTCTTCCGCGCCTCGGCTCCACCATGCGCTCGCGTACGCAGCTCAAGCGCACCGTCCCCCTCGCCCACGAGCAGTTCCAGAGGCGTTGGACGATTTGTCGGAGCAAATTGTACGTTTCATATCGCACTTGCATATACCTACCGCCCTTTATTTTCTGGGATGAATTGCGGACTTGGGCTAACCTAACATGAT